CCCTTAGTGGTCCCAAATCGATACAAGTAGGCTTCGGCCGCTACCCGGGCAAAATTCAAAATTTCCTACCAACTGAAAATGTTTGGTGTGTCCCTTGTGATCAAATTATGACCTTATGCAATTGCGAGCGCCGTAAAACTCTTACCAACCCCTCACCAAAAACAAAAACCCAAGACCAAAAATAAAATAAAAGACCAAAAAATACCAACAACCCCGAACAAACAACACAACACAAAAAAACCTAAACAAAACAACAAAAAGAAAACGAAAAACCAAAGATGTTTTAACCGTAGACGATTTAACCATTGACGATTTAAACAATAATGAATTATCAAAATATCATTTGACCAATGATCAGATCGATGATTTAATGGACGATGAAACCAGTGACTTCAAGATACATATTATACATAATATAAATATATATCTGTGTGCATGTGTATATGCCATTATGTATACAAAATGTGTGTACGTGTGTGTGTGTGTGTCTGTGTGCGTGTGTTTGTGTGTGTGCGTGTGTCTGTGGGTGTGCGTGTGTCTGTGTGTATGTATGTGAGTCTGTGTGTGTGCGTGTGTCTGTGGGTGTGCGTGTGTGGGTGTGTGTGTGTGTGTGTGTGTGTGTGTGTGTGTGTGTGTGTGTGTACCTGCTGTTTTCTCACCTGACAGAATTGACCCTGATCCCAGCTGGTCCCCACTCTGTAAGTAAACAAGACACAAAGCCACTATACTCTCTGACACATTTACAAAGCCACTATACTCTCTGACACATTCACAAAGCCACTATACTCTCTGACACATTCACCAAGCCACTATACTCTCTGACACATTCACAAAGCCACTATACTCTCTGACACATTCACCAAGTCACTATACTCTCTGACACATTCACAAAGCCACTATACTCTCTGACACATTCACCAAGTCACTATACTCTCTGACACATTCACAAAGCCACTATACTCTTTGACACATTCACAAAGTCACTATACTCTTTGACACATTCACAAAGTCACTATACTCTTTGACACATTCACAAAGTCACTATACCCTCTGACACACTATACTCTCTGACACACTATACTCTCTGACATATTCACAAAGCCACTATACTCTCTGACACATTCACAAAACCACTATACTCTCTGACACATTCACCAAGTCACTATACTCTCTGACACATTCACCAAGTCACTATACTTCTAAATCTGTTATATTCCCATAACGAATACCAATTCAGTTGCTGTTCCTATAATTCTAAACCTACTTATCCAACACTTAGATCTATTACTAATACTAATCCTAATCAAAACACATTTTCTATATTTCTGACCCTAACAGAAATCCAGAACACAACATTTTGTTTAATATCCTAACCATAAGCAAAAACACAAGATTCATTTTCCTAACCCTTATTGAAACAAAATCTATCATATTTATAACGAAATACAAAAATGTTAGCACTTTTTCTCCCCTGATCCTGACCCTAATCAAAGCACAAGAACTATATTCCTAACAGAAGACTACAGCATATTTCCAATTAAATCATTAAATGATTAAATCACAGGAATTATTTTCTTATATAACAATCTTAATAAAAGTGCCAGAGTCAAATTGCTAACCTTTAACTTTTTGTTATTAAAACAAACAAACAAACAAACAAACAGCAAGCAAACAAACAAACTAACAAACAACCATACACAATTGATGGTTTTCGCGTATTTCTGCTTCCGTTTCCTCCGTGTAACCAAACATACTACACAGGCTGTGCTATCTTGCCTGGAACTTATACACATTTTAAAAAACACATCGGTTTTTTTCTTGTTTAGTTCAGTTTTATTTTGAGTTTTACGGCACTTTCGACACAAATAGATCAGAAGATTGCGGATTTGTAGAGGTGTTGTTACTAGAGAGTGACATAGGCTACAAAGAAAAGGAGGAGAGATAAGGACGATGATATACAAAGAAAAGGAGAAGGAGGGACGAATACGACAGGCGTTTGGTAGAAAAGAAGGAGCAAACAACACCAGAGCACTCACGTTATTGGGTCGTTGTGTTTATCCTTTAAAATAACAGACTAACAAACACAAACACAAACAAACGTACAGGACTGTTATTTGTTTTTTGTGTGTCTCTTTCTCCTAAATTGAAACTAAGTTTAGAAAGTTTAGGGTGTGAGTGTGAGCGAATGAATGACTGTGTGAGTGTGTAGGTGTATCATGTAAGTGTGTAAGTGTGTGCATGTATGTGTGAGAATGTCTGCGAAACTGTGCGAATGAATGTGTAAGACAGTGTGAGTTTGTTAGTGTATGAGAGTATGCACTTGCGTGTGTGCGCGCTCGTGTGTGTGTGTATGTGAGTGTGTGTGTGTGTGTGTGTGTGTGTGTGTGTGGAGGGGGGGGGGGGTGTAAGTATATGTGTATGCGTGTAAGAGTAGTAACATGTGAGTGAATGTGTATGTGTGGGAGTGTGGGATATTGAGTGTGAGTATGAATGTGAGTAT